TCTCGCCATTGAAATGGGTGTGGGTCTGAATCTCCAACCTTTTGTGAAGAGGCAGGCTCTGGAAGCAGAGTTTTCCGCACTCAGATTCCTATTATGACTTTTAGAAACTAAGCAATATTTTAAAAATAAATATTAAAATTACGAATTAATCTAAAAAATATAGTCCAGCCGAAGCAAGGTACAAAAATAGACTATGGCTACAACAAAATTCTAAGCACAGTTGATTATTGTCATAAGAAGTGGGAAATATTTCCATATGAAGACATGTGATAACTGTTTTCTTTGCCTATACGTTTTCCTTTTAATAAGAATACTTTTATTTAAATGTCTGGAAATAATAAATTAGAGAACTTTGTAAGTTAGTGTATTTATAGCTATAATAGCAATTAATAAAATAAGAGAAGTGAAAGCGCATTAGAGTTGAAATTGAGTCTTAGATAAAAAACATTTTAAGTGACTAAGCTGATTTAATTTTTTTTAAAATACTTTTTTGGGGACTCTTAGATCTCTTATACATTCATCCATTATGTCAACCACATTTGTACATATGCTGCCATCATCATTTTCAAAGCATTTTCTTTCTACTTGAGTCCTTGATATTTTTATGAAATTTAAATTTTATTCTTTTTCATATTTAAATTGCTGATTTGTGGGAAAAGAGACTTGGCATATAATACAAAAAAATAATTGAATAATATTTTCTCATGATCTCAACTATAAAAATAAAAATGTCTCATGGGGGGAACTAGAATCTTAAGGTCCAACAACCACAGAAAGTTAAAACAATGCAAGGCTGTTAAGTCATACGCAAAGAAAAAGAAAACAAAACCATTTACCTGAAAATATGTCATATTGCCATTGATTAGCAGCTCCTGGTACTAATTTGTTAAAGCACTGTCAAGAGAGGGATATTGTACCAATGTAGGCTAATCCCACATGGCCATACCTGAATTATTCACGTGTACAAAATCAATCCTTTCATAACTGGACAGTATTTACACACAATTGGAGGTGGTTGTCAGGGAAAATTTACAATAATATTCACTGATAATGCCAGTTACAGGTTTGCTGGAAAAAATATATATCTTAATACAGAATATAGGGAATTACAGTTTAATACTTTTGGTATGGCTGTCTTCTGCTTCTTCAAACACCATGAATTTTCAGTCTGAAGTCCTCAGGGTACCCGTGTGCTTGAGGGAGAGTGGAGTTTCCGCATCAGATCTCACGGGTGCAGCCTTTGGAGCATGTTGTGTGCCTTGACGGGCCAGGATTTAACACCCAGTGTTCTATGGCACTTGGCCTGCATCCCCGGGATGTGCCCCAAAACTCAGGCCAATGGGGCATATTTCGTGCCTATTACCAGGGATACTCTCTCCTTAAGGTCCTTAAAAGTATTTTTAGTCATTTCCCCCCACTTGGAGGTCGGTCTTCTCACTTTTTCTACCCACAGTCAAGTCATGTACTTGTGCTCTTCTGGGCGTGTCTGCACCCTGTCCCCTCTCCTGATCTGACTTTCCCATCAGTATCCCTCACCCCTCTGATAGGATCAATGACAATGTTAATGGAAGATCGTTATGCCTCATGGAGATGATCAATAAGACTCTCTACTATATATTCACAAGGAGGTCTCTAAAGGGAGGCAAAGGCAGATAAAAATCAAACAAACAAACAAAACCACACAGATCCAGAAATGGGTTTGGGGCTCACACTACATCCTAGCTCCATTATAAGAATAATTAGTTCTTACATCATGGCCCTGCTCGATACTCACCCTCTGAAAAGGAACACAGAAGACATGGGTGCTATGCCAAAGTGTGATGAAGAAGTGAAATGGTGCCCAGCTATCAGATAAAATAACACCTGGGACCTTAAAGGCTTGTTTCCTAAGAAGCAGCCATCTAAGTGAGATGTCCATTAAGTCCACATGGCAGACGCACACCAATATCAAGTGCTTGAAGGATTATATATCATGCAATTCAAAGTCAAAGGAGGGAACAGTATCCGAGTCTAAACTCTGAGATTCTGGTTTGCAGAAGGAGATGGATGACAATGGGAGCCCAAGAAACTTTTCTGAGATCTCCACAGGATATCAGCCTCTACCTCTGGTGATTTCCCTCTATCCATAATCGAGGATGGGAAGAAGCTGGTTATCAGACAGAGTGCACTGGAAAGATGACTACAGAAGACCCAACTGACAACCCTGACTTGAACAGTTACAACCTTGTCTGTCCCCACTCTGATGCATGCCGGGCCTGATCTGTTTTTCAACATGTTCCTCTATCTTTTTGTTTTTTGTTCATTGATATTGGGGTTTATCTCAGATATATTTTGTCATTGGAGGATCCTCTTGAAATTTGTTATATGTCTTTCTGTTTTTCAGGATATGAAACCCAGATTTGATGGGCCCATAGAGATAGCAAGTAGAATAAGGGGTTTCTGCGGGGATCAGTAAAGGGGGTGGGGGGGTGGTAAAAGGGGGCCGATGTCAAGGAGTTCAAGAATGAAGAGACTGAGTTGAGATTGATTGTGGTAGCAATTGTACAACAGTGCTTGATGTGATTGAACTATGAAATAATACGATATCTGTATTAGCTCCCAATAAAATGGTTTAGAGAAAAAGAAATCATAACATGGAACCTGAATCTCACTAGAAAGAAAGAGGCTTCTCTACTTCAATGTAATGATGCAGACTGATTCCTTAACCCCTTTGTGTCCAGCTATTTATAAGGTAATCCCTCAGGACAAAACATAACAAAACAAAACAGATTACCTATTACTTCCAAAGGACACCAGCATGTTTGCTCTCTCTTAATTGTTTACCTCTATTTATTATGGCTGTGAGAAATTATTAATGTACCTAGTAAACTTTTGATAATTGACTGTTTTTTTCTTTTTATACCTCAGAGCTGATTTAAATTTAGAAGATAAAATTAGAGTAATGCATGTTTTCATGTACTACCTAAATCCATTCAAAAGTCCATCTATGTACAATAGTGCAATGTGGTTCATTTGCTCATTCAGTATTCCATCTTAGAGCCAGGCTAACCAATAATTTCTTTTATAGCTTTATAAACAGATATAATGAGTACTTTTGAACAAAATGTTAAGTGAAATGTTCTAACAGCACTAGATCTTCTAAATTCCCCGTGGCCTTAATTTGCTTTGATATTCAACCATAGCTTCAAGTAACCTGAATAGGTAAGAGGAAGGAATAAAAGTCCCATTTTTTATTTGCTCTTCAATGGGATAAAAAACAAGTGCACTGAAGCAGCCTGAAGACAAAAACAGAGTAATTGTCGATGGGAAAACAAAGAACATTTTAGCTAAAACATCTTTAGAGACCATTTGTAAGAGAGTCCAGTAATCAAAACGATTTCTAAAAAAAACCCATTTTCTATTGATAAGAAGGGAACATGCTATTTCAGAAAACTTTTTTCATAATATTTGAGTGTAAGAACTCGAGTCATCGGTTGGTGAAAACAGGTAAGAACTTGCTAATAGTGAGTGGAAAGGTTAGCAGTTTGAAACTCAAAGAGGTGCTTCAAATGGCTTCTGCAAGGTCACAGCTTTAAAAAGCAAGTCTACTCAGCACACACGGGGTTGCCAGGAGTTAGAATAGGCTCCGTGTTAACTGGCAACAACATCATTATGTCTAGAACTGCTACAGGAATCAGGTAGAGTGAATCTGGACATATTTGTGCTCATGAATGGGCTTAAGAATATATGCCTACAATTTCAGGTTAGTTTGGATGCACGAGGATTAATTTTTTAAAATTCTGATCATTCAAATTTGCTAGAATATCCAGGGGAAAATGTATAGAATTCTTCTGGGTCCAATTTAGACACCTGTTTTAAAATCATATTTGGGGAAAAGGTGGGATAATACGTGGTGGAGTCATATACATCCATATATAATTTTCTAGAGTGAGCTCTCAAGAAACTTCAAATGTCAACCAATCCTCACTTTAAAAAACAGCAAATCTTAAGATTTTCTGGCAAACGCATTTTTGCTAATTTTCCTATGAAAATTTCTCTTCTATCCCTGGTTTCTCAACATCTAGATCTCAGTTCATATGGCTGTTCTTGTTCATTTTTTAGGACCATGAAGAGAAAAATTGGATCCATATAAAATATCTAGGTCCTCATTTTAGCTATTAAGCTTCCACTTCACCAGATTTCAAAAAGCAAATTGATTATCCTAATTTAATGTTATCCTAAAGTGCTAAGCAATGACAGACAAGAGGGTAGAACAATGGAATTTATGGATCCAGAGCCTGCAAGTTGGGGAATTAGTAATAGTACACGTTGAAAACTAGAAACAGAATGTTAAAATATAGGTACCCAAAATGATTTGTTCTACCGCCTTCTTTTCAAGGAAAAAATAATTACTCAGTGCCCCCTGGCAATTAAAAGCATTTTTACTATAGTTCATACTCCAGGATAAGCATGAGCATCTGCTATTGCGCCCCCCCCCCCCCTTACTGTCCCTGCTCCCGAATCCTTGCAGGGCCCCTTAGGGGGTGGTATCACGCACTTTGGGAAACTGCTTTAGAATGATTTTCACACTAGGCTCTCCTTATGCACCTACCTCCAGTTTTAAAATAGAAAACATGAATGTTGACACTTTAAATTGATAGTCCCCTTAGCTTTGCACATATAATGCAGATAATAATAATATATCTTATTTATATATAAAATCTTTTTATACTAAAACGTTCTCTGCCTAAAAATGGAAGCAAATATTTTTTCTCCTATACATGCATAAAAATCATAGATATAATTCACTTTATTGAGATCTAATGCAGATATTTAAACTATATTATTTTTATAATTTCCTTTTGTTATAAAATATTCTTTTTCCTAAAAAGGAAAACAAATATTCTTTTTTTCCTCCTATATATGCATTAAGAAAGACATAAGTATTCAGTGTTATAACACTTATTCAGTGAGATCCAAATGTACACATTTCTCTCATTTCCCACTAAATGCTGGCTCACCTTGCACTTTGGACATTTCTGGGCGTTCCTTTGCCCATGCTCAATCTCGCTGGCCCAGTGGCGCAATAATTTGTCTCCTTTTTTGTACTCCTTGCAGTTAACGCCTTCATGCCAAGGAGCATGGCACTTAAAACACCAGACAAATTGGCAAGTGGGGCACTGGATCTGTGTAAGGAAAAGTAAAATTCAGTACTGATAAACACCCTGTTCACTTCTTAAAGTGTAAGAATGACAGTGCTGCGAGGCTATCACTAGCAAGTTATAATCTGTCCACATTTATAATATCTTCCCCTCCACAAGACCGCGACGACACTGGGATACAAACATTCTGGTACTGAAGGAGGTCAGAATTCCTTTGCCAAGATTATACTGGAACTAAACCCTTATGACCTTCTAGAAGTCAATTTGACCTTAAAAACTGCTCAGACTGAAGCAGAGTCAAATCTGCAGACTCACAATGCCCCAAATCCACATGCTCAGGCTGCCCTTTAATTCATTACGCCCGTGAACCAAATTTTCAAGCATCGCATCACTCTTTCTACCAATAACTTAATTCATTTTTGGAAAATGAAGACCTTACAGATGTTTCATTGAATGAGAAATACAGTAACACATAACCTGCTGTAGCAACATTTGCAATGAGAGAGCAGTTAAAATGTTAAGATGTTCCTGCTTAACATCAATCGACACAAGGTTAATGATAAAATAACACATTATTAGAGATAAAGCAGTATGGTGACACTGGCAGGTACAAGAGACCGTCACACAGTTTCACTATGCGTGGTGTATTAAAAAGAGAAAGAGAGTGCTCCGTGAAAGCATTTGTCTTCCATTTGGCCCTGGATGGAGGTATGTTTGCTAACAGTTGCCCTTACTTTGCGTGACAGTGGAGCAACGCATCCATTCACGGTACTGCCAGTCTTCACTCTCAGACATACTTGATTAAAGTGAATTAATACAGTCTCATTTTTCAGAGCGTTGATAATTGGTTATTCTACTCTTTTCTTCTACATAATATTTCACATAAATGAATTTACTGACTGCATTTGAAAGAAGTTAGAATTTATTTTCATAAGCTACATATAATATATCACAACTTACTTTTTTAGAAAACCACTTTAAAAAAACAGTGGTTCTCATATATGGATTAAATGAGTGGTAATTTGAAGCTGTTTGGTTTATAAATCAAAATACTATCATTTGTCACTTACATCAGGTAAAGACAATGCTTCTCCCATTCAAGTATAAAATAATGAAGGTACTTTTGCTTTTATAACTATGTCAAAACAAACAGCATCTTTTCATAAGATATAAACAATTGTCAGGGGAACTTATTTACTAAAATTCTGCTATATTACAATACTTGGACTGAATGTATTATATTTTTACATACACTTGTTTTATTCTCAAAGTAAGTTCTGCAAAAGTGGTAGAGAAATCACAATAGATGGAGAAGCTTAGGCTCAGAAAGGTTCACTGACTTGCTCAAGATCACATGGCAAGGGCAGGCCGCGGAGGGACCGAAACCTGACTTGAAAGCCAGGATTCTTTTCACTGTGCCACCATTCTTCCTCTAACTAAGCCGCACTCGTTCTTTGGCAGTTAGAATTTTAAATGTATTAGTCCATAAAGGTCATATAGTGAAGTTATCCAGAAGGTCCAAATTCTACATTGTGGTCAGTTTAAGGTGAACTTGGAAAGTCTTCAGAAAAATTGGGAAACTCTTTGCTTTAGAGAGAGAGAGAAAAAGAGAGAGAGAGAGAGAGAGAGACTCAATCATTTAAAATAACCTTTTTTGTCCTTCTAATCATGAACAGTAAAATGAGTCATTTGTAAAGTAGGAAGGGTGAGTTAGAGTGGATGAGATCCAGATAATAACAAAATGTAAAATGCTTATTCTCCATGCCATTGAACAAGAAAGAGTAGATCTAAATATCATATGCAGCCTTCCTTTCAATACAATTGATGAACGAGGGGGAAGAAATCCGCCACTGTATCACATGGACCCAAATACTGAATTCATTATTCTAAATCACTAGCCTGTGGTATTGTTAAATTTAAAAAAATTTTTGGTTTTTAATCAGTTTTAAGAATTATTGCTATGAAATGAATCCAAGAGTTAAACACAGTGCCATTGGGCCAATTCTGACTCATGAATAGAAGAATACGAGTATACACAAAGGTGCTTTGAAACTGGGATTCATGTTATGAGTGTCGGATATTAAGGATCCGAGGATCATTTCAACCAAGTGTTGAAGGGTTACAGCATGGATCTTTAATGAAAACAAGTAGATACCATCGTTAGGTGGAATCAGACATTTGGTGTACCCACCAAGGACTCTGGCTTTCCACTTCTCCTACGTCAACAACTCGACCTGCTGCAGAACCTGCTTGCCCAACCCCCCAACAACTAGACTTAAGGACAAACTGAGAAGTTTCCTGCAAACTCTCAATTGAAGATGAATAATGTAAATTCATGCCTGAATGGTTCCCATCTCTCACTGAAAACATGCATGTACGAATTACTGAGGATTAGAAAAATTAAAGGTCCAGCAGCAACCCCAACAATGTTGGTCCTCTGAGGGGACCCCTAGACTGTTGTCTGAATGCTGGCTTTTCGATCTGAAGAGGCCGGCTGACTCCAAAGAGCCGAGTGACTCCAGTGGCTGACCCCAGGAGCAGGGAATACAGACATGGGCTTCTTGTGTTAGAGGGGATCGCACCTAACAGAGCTGGTCTTCCCATTGCCCCATGATGGCTCCCCACACAGTTGCTGATACTGCTTTTCCGTCCTTCAGACTTCCTGTGGAGCCTTATAGTAAATCTCACTCACTGAGGAACCCGACCACAGCCTGGCTGCTTAAAATTGGAAAGGGCCCAATTAACACGATCCGATCAGTCTACTGAATTGGAAAGGGCCCAATTAACATGATCCGATCAGTCTACTGAAATTTTACCCACATGGAACGCTCCTTTCTTCACGATGCCTTCACTGTTCCTCCCAGCATATCTAGTAGCCTTCTTATCAAACTCACACTAAACACATCTCCTCCCTGACACAGACTTACCCAGGGCAAAAGCTTTGTCTCCTTCACCTGTAGATTCTAATTTGAGTCACACACAACTTCAGGTACATGGTAGGCACTCACTCAATTGTTTGGAAAATACATGATTTTATATACGGCAGGTACTATACAGCGGCTAGCATGCAGTGAATTCAGAGGATAAAAGAAAAAGCGAGAGAAAAAAGCCTCCACCAGCCAACATATCTAATTTATGACCAGTGGCTGAGAGGCTGAGATGGCTATCACTACCCCTTAGATAACCAGATGATGTCTATTAAATAATTTACACACATGACACTTTACTAAGCATCATGATTAATGTGCAAACTCGTTTATATGAGGCGGGGTTGCAAGCGTTTCAAGAACAGAGTTATCAGAGTGAGCAATGTGAATTAAGTTGTCCCAGAACCCAAGAAAGGTAAGAGAACTTTCTACTTATGCTTTTGACTTCTTTTTCATGTTTCCCCCCCAGAAATCTGGCCTATAATGACACTGACTGACAAGTTAAACCAACCTGATTGACCTAAGCAGATGGTATCTGCCCTGACAGTTCATGCCGAGAGAGGAAACAGTACACAAAAGAAAAACAAGGGCTCCCAAATGAAAAAACAAAACAAAACACTCAAGATAATTATTTTCTTACTTACATTCCATATACTTTTAAATAAATGACCAAAGTACTACCTTTCAAATTCAAGGTATAACAGCTATGCTTTATGTGTAACGTTGCAAATATATGAGTTCAAGTGTTACCAGTAGGATTGGTTTGATTAGAATTTCAGGTTAAGGCAGCTACGCAATAATGAAACACATTCTTTAATTCATTTTCTCATTCAACAAATAGGTATTTATAACACCTTCTAACTAGCAGGTGTTAATGGTACTGATTTTAGATACAGAAAAAAGGATGAACAAACTTGTCCTTAAGAAATTTCCAAGCTACTGGGGGAAGACAGAAACCCAAAGAACTATGAAATTCTGTAATAACTGAGAGCACAGAAGCTTGGACAAGTAGGTGATACAGGAGAGGTATTTCCAGGAAGGCTGGGAGAAAGGTGCTCAGAGAAGATGATCTTGAAAGATGAGAAGAATACCACTGCGGTAGAGGTAAAACTTCAGCTAGAGAATCCAGCCGAGCTGCCAGTTAGAGAGAAACAATGTGGGAAAACCCACTGCCATCAAGTTCATGTTGGCTCTGCTCATTCACTCACGGCCATCAGGAGATAGCACTGAGTAGACGTGTCCCTTTCGGTTTTCAAGATTTTAGAAATCTTCATGGAAAAAGGCAGTCTCTCAGCTTTCTACTGGAGAACAGTTGGTGGGTGACTTATTTAATGTGTTTTCTCTGGCCAAAGTCTCTCTCACTAAACAGCCTTTCCCGGCAAGGGTCTGGTAAGAAACGGGGAAGACACTGATAAGATTCACTGGTGAGTAGTTTCAACCAAGATTCCCTGGAGCGTCATACCGCTGTGCATAAAATGATCCCTCTGAGATGGGGAAGGAGGGATCTCATTACCTGCAAGAGCCAGGAGTGGAGTGCATTCTCGAGACCCTGGGCATGCAGGGAACCTGCTGGATTCAGATGACAGCTACATCAGAGGAGCAACAGCAAAACCAGGAGACAGAGCGTGGACAGTGATGGGTTTTCCCAACCCATGGAGAATGTAAGGCTGAGTGCTTTTGTTCGGGAGGCAGGCTTGCGGAGTGGGTGTCTCCAGGGACTTAATTCCAGAAGCTGGGCTAGCTGACCCACAGAGCTCGAGCTGCATGCGTCCAGCAGAGTGGTATTCCCTCTGGGCATTGGTTAGATGCCTTGATAGAACTTTGTGACATGTCTTGATAAACCACTCAACTCTGAGCCTTTCTCACTGACATTACAACGTGTTGACTTCCTTAGCAAACCCTTTGATCACGAATTTTGTTTGGGAGTTAGTTCTGTGTAGCCATCGCAATGGACATTAGAGCCCACAGAAGTAAAATAGAGAATTTTAATGAAGACAGTGCAGAACCACCAACCAATCTTGCAGTGGAGCTGCGCGTTGTTTCCCCAAGTGTACCCGAACAAAATGCCACTTCCAATGGTTCAACACTGGTCACGGG